AAGAGTGGCTTGACACAAGGAATGCGACAGCAGAAACCCATGTCTTTCATACGTCTGTGTGTGGTGGTTCTTGAAGCACTCACTCCAGCTGCAGTCCACTCTTTGTGAATCTCCCCCACATTTTTGAATGGGTTTTGTTTCACAATCCTCTCCAGGGTGCGGTTATCTCTCTTGCTTGTACACTTTTTTCGACCACATCTTTTCCTTCCCTTCGCCTCTCTATTAATGTGCTTGGACACTGAGCTCTGTGAACAGCCAGCCTCTTTAGCGATGACCTTTTGTGTCTTGCCCTCCTTGTGCAAGGTGTCGATGTTCGTCTTTTGGACAACTGTCAAGTCAGCAGTCTTCCCCATGATTGTGTAGCCTATAGAACTAGACTGAAAGACCATTTAAAGGCTTTTGCAGGTGGTTTGAGTTAATTAGCTGATTAGAGTGTGGCACCAGGGGCCATCAATTTTGAACCTTTTCACAATATTCTAATTTTCTGATATGATGAATTTGAGATTTTCATTTGTTGTCATTTGTAATCATCAAAATTAAACAAAATAAACATCTGAAATATATGAGTTTGTATGTAATGTATGAATATAATATACAAGTTTCACTTTTTAAATGGAATTACTGAAATCAATCTACTTTTTCATGATATTCTAATTTTATGACCAGCACCTGTATAAGCTGTAAACACAATGCTTTGCTGCTGGGCACCTGTCAGTGTATGACAGCAAAGTTCACATCTTTTAAATCTTTATTTGTTCTCTGAAGAAATGGTGCATTTAACATATTCATATAATTTTAACAATTTTTTGTCACAGCTATAAACTTTTGTGAAGTTAAACATTAGTATTGCTTTTAGGAATGTATTTTACAAACCTTTAGGAAAGAGTGTCAGAAAGAAAGCCATAAGAGGTCCTGTTTAACTCTGTACCACATGTAATACAGAAGCAAACATATGAAAGCCCTCTTGAGTCTATGTACAAAGCTTTATTTCGGAGGTCATATAACTCGAGTTAATGGTCTTAAAACCCCATTCCTATTACATATAGGAACAGTTTGTCCCCATGAACACATTGTGCAACGGGGATCCCTTACTTTAGCATTGGCAGGGAAGCTCTTAAGGGTTTGAGAAGATGTGATCACTTTTCCTTTTTTAATTTATCCAGTAGATACATACCTAAAATAGAAATATTAAGGCCTGAGTCTACAGTACCGATTGGCATAAATGGTGTTTTGCATTGCTTTATGGTCCTGAACAGTAGTTTAAAGCAGTGTTTCACAACCTTTTTTTTCACTTGCGTACCCCTTTGGGTATTTTTCCTTACCAGGAGTACCCCTCTGTTTCAAAAGTATTGATGATCGTCCAAAAGTTGAATGTACAATAACTGAGATAATGACTATTTCAAGACTAATTTCTGTGAGAAGCAGAATGGAGAGATACAGAAGTTATTTTTTCTCAGCTTTCATTAGACAGTTTAATGCCTCTTGAAGAACTGAGTTTTTTATTATTATTTTTTAATGTAATTATGAGTTTTTTTTATCCTATTTTATGTTTTTATCTTTGCTATTGAGCAGGTGAATTTCCTATCTATAATCTATCTATCTGTCTGTCTGCCTGTCTGTCTTTTGATTTGTGGATTTAATTTTTATAGTTATATTCTTTCCATCTCAAATAAAAAAAACATATATATGCTGCCTGGAACTTAGTATGGAATAGAAATAAATACAAATAAAATCATATTATAAACCTGTATTTATAAACGGCAGCTCTTCTGAGTAACTCTCTTACAGTCACATTTAAATTTCAGACTTTGAATCCGGAACAAAATCCAGAACGAAAATTATGATCAGAATGACTTAATTAGTTTTAAACCTATAAGAAAAACTTACTTTTTGGTTTAAAAAAGCTTGTTTAATTTTTCAGTTGGGTCCTCACAAAGCAGAACTGAGACAAGCCTTTTACTACCTAAGAGACAAATATTTTAATGTACCCCTTGCAATGAAATAACGTATACCCCCGGTTGGGAATCACTGGTTTCAATTACACTTTACTCCAAACTAGAGAACTAAGAGGGGACTGAGTTAAATGCTTCTTTTGTACTAGTTGCCCAGTAATTAGTTTAACTGTCACTTTTCTGTTTTCACAGCACAGCTGCAAGATTTGATTTTTGGCTCTTCAGCAACGTCTGCTTCCATGTCACTGATAAGAGCTACTGATAAACTGTTGTTCATGTCTTGGTCTGAAAAATGATGGCCTATCATGCAGATCAACTGCTTATAAACTAGTGAAAAAAGAAATGATGACAGATAAAAATGCTGTAATTTCTAGCAATTTCCCACCCAATCCTTTGCACACCTTTCTTTAAAAATTTCTGAGCTTTAAACTGACTTTACCTCATCACTACCGGTTTAACAAATGTATTTATGATCAGTTGTATTTATAATATATTTAGAACGATGTACTATAATGTTTTGACAACAGAAATATCGAAAGTAAATAAATGAGCCTCTCGGTACTTTACAGCTAAGACTGGCCCCAAATTATTTTAAATTGGAACACTCAGTCACTATTACATGATAGTAAAAACTAGAGTTGAAACTGTGAGTTGAGAAGTGGTTTAAATATTCAGTGAATTTGCATATATATATGTTCAAAAAGAACCTCCATTATAAATGAAGGTTTAATAAATAGTTGTTAGATAGTGGTTTGGTTTTCTACTGTCTCTTGGGCAGGTGCCATGAGGTGTTAAAGACACCTGTCTTGTTTCCCTGCCCACTCCCAAAGTGATTTTATTTGATCTCATTTTTGTGTTTGCACTCTGTCGCTTCGGGCCTATTGCCAGCTGTCGGTGGATAAGGCAGAGTTTAGGAGATCATTGATTGAAAGGATGCAGTTAAACTCTGTGCCCTTCTTGGAAAAAAAACAGACATTGGCAAAAAAAGAAAAGCTATTGATAAAGATGTACAAAAAGTCAGATGTTTCTGGCAAACATACAGTCTGTTAATTTTGATCTCAAGAGAATCTTAAGCAAACGTGAAAGATCAAGGTTTGTTTACGCAGTTATTTCCCAGGTGTTACAGTAAGATATCAAGTTTTGCTCCTCAAGCTTGTAAGAGAGCAGTTTAATCAAAGGAAAATACACAACAGTGAGCTTTTAGGTCTGCCAGACAAAAAAAGTCTTGATTATTAAAAATCAATATCAATAATTCTCCTGACAGTTTCTATAGAAGGAAGATGAAAACAATATTCACCCGTTTTATGGTGGAAGTTAAGAATTGTGAGATTTGCAGAGAAAGAAGGTTTCGATGGGGTTTGAACTTCTCTGTACGTCTATTTCAGTTATTTTATGTCTTGTTTTTTAGCAGTACAGCAAAGAAGGGCAGACTGACAACATCACAAAGGAATGTCTTAAGATCCAGTGTGTTATACAAGGACCAAGACAGAGTTCAGACTTGAATCTGGATGAACGTCTCTGGAGAGCTCAAAAAACTGATGTGCACAGATGCCTTCCATCCAATCTGAAGTATCTTGATATGTAATGGAAAGAACAATGTATGGACCTACGCAAAATTAGGCATGCTAGGCTCAGGCACCATGTTAAGAATGATTTGACACTATATATAATTGCTGCCAAAGGTGGACTAGTTACTAAGAAATGCAGGTATGTGAATCATTTTTGGCTGCACTCTATTGTGAGGTTTTTGATCGAATTGTTAATACAATTTTTTATAGGAATACAATCATGTCTTTGATATTCAGTAGAAGTAGCATTTGTTTCCCCTTGAGGGTCCAATCACTTCTTCACATATGTTTAGGAGGAACTTTTTTCTGATAGCTTAAATAATCTTTTGCAAAACGCACTTGGTTTTCTTCTTAGGGTGACTTTATGTGAACATCTGTTTGATCTAAAACAATACCTGGCAAAAAGGAAAAAAAAAAAAAAATGTAAGTTGGCAAATAACTTTTTTACCCAACTGTGCACACTTGAGAAAACTTTGTAAAGAACGGGGTATATTTAATACATAGGCAATGATGCAAATGTGTGTGTTACTATAATAAACAAAAAAACAGAAGCTATAAATGTTTAGTTTAGTTTAGTTTGTCCTTACTGCACTGTAAGTTGGGGGAAAGTAAACACCTTAAACTCATATGTTGCCTTGACTTTTTGTCTCTTTTGACTTTACCTGTGACGGCTCGCTTTTCAAGACATTTACACAGAAATAATAACAAAAATGGCAACGTCTTCGGCGGCCTGCTGAGCCGCTCCCTGCTGCTGCCCAGCACGATATTCCTTCTCTGTCCTTGTTTGATGCTCCTGTGTTTGCGTCCTTCTGTGGCTACAGTATGGTTGCCTAAGTGTCACTGCATCAACATGGCTGTGAACACAACTTGTTGTTGCTTGTTGTAAGTTGATGACACTTTTATGAAATGACACTTTATCTGAGTAAGAGGGTGTGTGTGTGTGCCTGTTGTCCTCAGACACTGTTGTAGATGTATTTGCATGGATTCTGAGATGGGTGTTTATATTTGTATTCTCTAAAGAAAGGTTAGAAAATGACCTGTCTCCCATGATTACATCCTTGGTAAGCAGAAGTGACGAGGTAATTGGGAAATCTATTTAGGAGATTGTTGCCTGTCTCTCTTCCTTCCTCTCCATGCTGTTCTATTTCAGGTCATTAGTTGATTTCCCTCAGTTTTTTACACCTCTGCTCTTGTTCTCTTTTTTTCTCAGTTTTCATTGCTTCCCCTTTCTTTAGTCCCTTACTTAACTTACCTCGCAACTTTTACTGCCAACGTATCACTCTGCTGTCTCTGCTCACCCAGAATTAATATTAATAGAAACAAAATCTTGGGATTTTCAGATGCTCAGCAACAGAGAGAATGTCACTTAGCTGACAAACTGGCATGAATGATTCCTGTTCACGGTTTCATATTCCACAAGTTGGCATTTAGAAGTGTACTCTAACACAGTTGCATTTCTTTCACCTTGTGTCTCATTCAGTGGCGACCATTTCTCCCTGGTCTGAAATATGAAGTGATAGACTCTGCATACATCTCCCTCTACACAGGTAAGAACTTTCCATGGTTACTGATAATAAACCTTGAATTTCAGAGTATTTAATCCCCATTTTTAAAGCATAGTTAAGATACTCTTGGTCGTACAGAAAGCTTAGTTAAGCTTTTATTTGAAATTACACTTGAATTACACATTTGTCATTCTTTTTCTTAAAACATGTTTAGATTAATTAAAAGAGGGGAAAATACCAATACAAGCCCAAAAGCCACTTTAAAGCTGCAGCTTTGGCTTAAGTTTTATCAACAGCATGAAATCTTTTTTTCTTTCTTTCCACCAATGTTTTGATTATAATGGAATTTCAGCTGTGCTTTATTTGTTCAAGGATATATACTAATTTTATTTTAAAGATTCATCTTTTTGGGTGTGGTCCTAAGAACAATATTTGGTATTAGGCAAAATTAACCACATTTCGTGGTACACTAGTTAAATTGTGTAACACAGGACCTTGGAAAAATGTTTACTGTATCTGAGAGAAAAACACATGTGAGAAGTTTTTTTTTTTTCTTCATAACTAGTATGATTGGTTTAACAACATTTGTTTAACCACATTTGTTGATCCACATATCTTTCTCTTTGACATTTAACATGATGATGAGTCGGATTCTGTGGATCAGTCTTCAGCTTAGACGTAGACTTAGACAGACTTTATTGTCATTTTGTACACACAGAGTGTATACAAAACAAAATTTTGTTCAGTACAGCTCTCAAGACATTTCCATTTCCAAAGTGCAGCAGTGATAAAATGTAAACATGGTGTAGTTTCCAACATTCAGTGCTGTTTTTTTTAACCCCATTTCATACAACATTTAGCAGTCTAATGGCACTGGGGAAGAAGCTGTTCTGGAATCTGCTGGACCTGCATCCAATGCTGCAAAACCTCTTCCCAGATGGCAGCATGGAGAACAGTCCATGGTTGGGGTGTAAGGGGTCATTTTTTATGATGTTACGGGCTCGGGACACGCAGTGCTGGGATTAAATGTCATTTATGGAGGGAGGCACCTTCTTCCAGTCTGCGGCATTGCAGCCTCCGCACCACACAGTGAGACAGCTGGTCAGAACGCTCTCTATGGTGTTTCTGTTCAAGGCAGTGACGATGGGTTGGGGCAGGTGGGCTCTCCTCATCCTCCAAAGGAAGAACAAGCGCTTTGGTGCCCTTTTGACCAGTGAGTTGGTGTTTACAGTCCAGGTGAGGTTGTCCCCAGGAATTTGGTGCTGTTGACCACCTCTACAGCTGAGCCGTTCATGAGCAGTGGAGCGTGGTTTGGCCGGTTCTTCCTGAACTCTCCCTCATTTTCTCCACATTCAGGATCAGATTGTTGTCTCTGCACCAGCCCACCAGCTGCTCTACCTCCTCTCTGTAGTCCAGGTCGTTGTCGTCTCTGATGAGGCCCACCACTGTAGTGTTGTCTGTGAACTTCAAGATGTGATTGGTTGTGAACCTGGGGACGCAGTCTTGTGTCATCAGGGTGAACAGCAGGGGGCTCATGACGCAGCTGTGAGGGGAGCCTGTGCTTAGGATGATGACATCAGAGGTGTTCTGTCCGACCCGGACCGACTGAGGTCAGTCTGGTTGAAGCTCGGCTGTTCCACTTTGCCCATCAGATGCTGTGGGATGATGGTGTTGAAAGCTGATCTGAAGTCCAGGAACAGCATCTGCACGTGGTTGTTCTTCTCTTCCAGGTATGCCAGGCTCAGGTAAGGAGAAGAGGAGGTGCCGTCCTCAGAGCTGGTCGAATGTTGGCAGCAAACCTGAGACGATGCTTTCTTTAACCAGCCTTTCAAAGCACTTCATCGTGATCTGAGTCAGTGCGACAGGCCCGTAGTCATTGAGTGAGGTGTGCTGAAGCTTTTTTAGGACCAGAATGATGGTGGTGGACTTGAAGCAGGCTGGCATTATGCATTGGTCCTGCGAGGTGTTGAAAATGTCTGTGAGGACACCAGCCAGCTGATCTGCACACTCCTTGTACACCCCGGTATGTTATCGGTGCCTGGGGCCTTTCTTGGGTTTAGTCCGCAAGTTTTCTGTTGAATTTAGGTTCGGACAGCATTTATCATGGGAACTGCTGAGAAACTTCCGCTTTGGCATGTACAAGTCCCTGAGTTTTTACAGATATTTGCCCTCTGGTGAAAGTTAAAATGACAAGGAAGGAAAAGGAAAAGAAAGCACAAAACAACACAAAAGCATGAGTCTGCCACTGCGACTGCACAGGCCATTTGTTTAGAGAAGTAATCTCTTCTGAGGTAAGAAGTTATGAATATTAAAGTTACTTTGAACCAAGCATTAAAAAAAAGAGAGCCAATTGCTGGCATATCTCAGCTTTTATCATTTGTTGAAATCTCGTAATTCTTGTCTGTTTCTGCCACAAATCAGACTCCAATTGTCCCTTTTTGTTCCACTGGACAACTTTCTTACTTTTTTAGTCTTGTGTGGATTCTGTAATGGGGATCATCGAGGTGCACTTGTGGCTGGTCTTTGTGATCCATCTTTAGAAAGAAATTGCTTATGTTCTTCCACTTATGCATCAGTTGTGGCAGAGAACCAACAAAGTAAACAGGTGAATGAGGCCGTGCAGTGTGTCACACTGACAGGCACATTTAAAGAAACCAGCCCGATCCTTCTCTCATGAACTGACTAGAGCCAATAGAGGCAACAGCGATTAATACAGCAGACCTCATTTACACATCTTGTAATTGTAAGGGAATTAAATAAATAAAAAATAATAATATTCAATTCTCAATGTGGAGCAATGAGCCTTACTGACTTGCAGTATTCAAATGGACCCCAAAGGCCTAAGAGTTACACATTTTGATACACAAGGATAGCAAAAAATTAAAAAAAAAATTAAAAACAAGTTATAACGTTTTGAAAAATCTTAAAAAATTAAAAAGTGCAGAAAAGACAGAAAATTAAAAAAAGCTTTTCTTGAGTTAATTTTAAAAGGATTGTTATGGGTACAAACTACTGTAGCTTTACATGTCTTGATTAAAAAAAATGATTAACATGGGGTTTTATTACTCCACTCAATATATCTTTTTCAAAATTGTACCTTTGTAAATTTGTGCTGCAGGATTATACTTCTGCAGTAAAAGATTGACTTATTTTAGGGCTTTTTAATTACATATCTCAGGGGTGTCAGTAGATGTAGCTGACACCGTATAGACTCTTTTTGCTCCTTGATTCATGGTATTTGCAGAAGAGTTAAGAAATGTGCCTTAAGTAGGTGCTTAACCTCAGCAGCTCCAGGAATAGTAATGTGTCACAAGGAATCAGTTACACTAAGAGCAAAAACTGCCAGCTGCTTCGAAAAATGATGCACAAATTTGTCGACTTGAGCAAATCTGCGGTGTTTCTTGGCTGTACGCCAAACCCTGCCATGTTGTTTATGAGGAGCAGTGACAGAGAAGAATGAGGTCTCATACATCAGATGAGATCACTGTTTGGATTCAGGCATTACCTTCTCATCATCTTTCCCAAGCAATCCATCCTCCGCCCCTGGTTTGCACCCTTCCCCGGCGGCACTGGTTTGCTTTATGAATGCAACCCCGAAAGTGTTTGATATTTGTTCATGTTTGTACAATTATGTCCACACTGTGCTGGCGTAGAGTTGGTTGGCATTGTTTAACCCATTTAGGCCGGGAAAGCATTACCGCATTTCTACCATTCAAGCCGGGGGCGCTGTTGCGTAATTCTACCATTGACGCCGGGAGAGCATATAAGTCAAGCAAGAAGAAAGAAGTTTTTTTCAAGCAAACATGGAGGAGTTTGACAGAGAAGAGATGTCGGAAGGCAGTGATTTTGAGGAGTGTGTCGGCTTTGATGACGGTATAGATGAAAATGATGACTTTGAACGCGCTGAACCAATCGAACTACCACCGCAATGCACGGAGTGTTTTCAACCGCACACCTGGAGTGAAAGTTGATTTGCCTGCAGACACCACACCGCTGCAGGCATTTGAGCATATTTTTAATGAAGAACTTTGGATACATCTTGTTACCGAGACGAATAGGTACAGTGACCAAACAAACCAAACTCCAACAAGAGCAAAGATGGCAAAGTGGTCACCCGTGACTGTGACGGAGATGAAGACATTTATTGGGCTGTGTATGGGCATAGGACTTCTTGTGTTGCCAGTAGGGGTGGGTATTGGCAAAGAAGTCACGATTCGATTCGAATCACGATTCACATGCCACGATGCGATTCTATCACGATGCATCACGATACTTGAAATATTGCGATGCATTGCAATATTTTCACTGAACACTGTAGTAAAAGGATACAGCCCTTACCAGTGGCTGACTGGCTGGGTATGATCTGGATAGTGTCTTCAATTGATACATAACTGAAAGCAACCGAATTCATACATAGCTGTATTTATTGAAATGACTTTTGGAGGTGTTGCCATGAAAACAAATACTGGACAGAAATATTACTATTACCGGCGTGGACACACTGACAAAAAGATCTTAGGATTCATCAAACTTAAAATAACAAAATAAGGATAATCAGTGCCGTTTACATGGCCTCAGTGGTCCTTCAAACCAATGAAACGAAAACATTAAAATGTTTCAACTTGAAAACTGAAATGATAAAAAAAAAAAAAAAAAAAAAAAAAAAAAATTTTTTTTTTTTTTTTTTTTTTTTTTTAATAATCGATTCTTGCCTTCAAGAATCGATGCAGTAGATCACAACAATTAGAATCGCGATGCATCGATATGACGATTATTTTGCACACCCCTAGTTGCCAGTAGGCTACGAAGAGATTATTGGCGACAGAGTAAACCTCTCTTCAGGACGCAGTTCCCCCAAAATATGTCCCGGGACAGATTTGTGGCCATCTGGAGGTAAGTTGTATGCAATTTATAACACAGACATATGCATTATTATGCATAATAATACTGTTAATAAGTAATCATCAGATAGTTATTTATGTAATGTTTGTTCTTTATTTTAAAAACGTTTTATATTGCACATTCTCAATGAAGACATGATCACATATGGAAAAAATAAAGGTTGAATTTTTTATTTTTTTATTACTGCTTTTCACTTTTTTTTTTTGGAAGAATTTCAAAGATAAAATATATTTTGAGTTCTATCTGCTACAGAAGCTGAGATATCAATAATTTACTAGGCGTTGACACAGTTGCTGAATTTACAGAAAAACTTCAGGTTTTAGGGGTATTTTTTAAAATCGGCCATAGGTTTTTAAGGTGTTTTTTCCAGGCGTTTTAGGCCTAAATGGGTTAAGGACAACTGAAGTTATCTTGATATTAAAATTCAACCTGACACACTTTTGAAATGTCACTTTATAAAGCACAACCTATTAAAATTTCATAAGTGCTTCTCATGAGTTCAATCCAAATTGATTTCCTTTCAATGTGATAATAGCATTCTTCTCTTTGTATCTTGAAAATGAATCCTAAAAAAAAAAAAAAAAACAGTTGGCAATGTTTTATGTTTTTTTTTTTTTATGTTTTTTATGTTCAATTTTTATAATCATCTATTCCAGTGATTTTCATAGTCGGTCCTCTGGTCTGCTTTCTCTGCATGTTAAGGTATTTTACTGCTACCACACACCTGACTTTAGCAGGCTCCTGCAGCCAGTGCTGGCTGATGAGGAGGGAGTGCAGTCATTTGATGCAAAGATGCACATAAAACATGTGGGTCAAGTGAAGCATGAGTTTTAAAAGCATTAATGTATTCTTTTAGTTTCAGAGATGTTGAGCTGATTTGAATTAGTTGAGGTTTTTTTTATAGAAGCTTTCTGAGAGGTTTTTTTCCAAATGGCATTATAAGAATGTTAAAGCACTCAGTAGTGTCTAGATTTTAACCATATAAATGTTAACTTCAAAAGAAATGTATTGTTCCAGCAAGTTTTTTGGAATGCAACATTACTACTATTAGCAAACCGCCCCAAGCATGATACGTACACTGTCATGCCTGATACAGTAGCTGCAGCAAAGTTTTTATGTGTTAGTAATCTTTACTTCTCAAAACTGTACTATTATTGTGGCTAGAAAGTGGACTGAAGAAGTGGCCATTTTGGAGCATTTTCTTCTCTCTTGTTGAGACTTCCTCAGTTCAGCTTTCTGTTAAAATCCAACAAAAAACAATAATTTCACTTCTTGTGCCAATAATCTGCTTTATAGCACAGATCAGGGGTATTTCATTTAAGGGGAAGGTTTGGGTAGAGACTAAATGAATAAATTGATTAAAATTTCCTACTATCACGCAAAAATAATCTTAAAAAAACAACTTTCTGTACAATGTGCACATAAACATTCAGAGTATTTCACACTTGGCCCTTTGGAGGAGGAAAATGACGCTAAACACCCTATTAATTACAAAACATGTCTCCCATCAGCCCCTTGCTCCCGAGGTGATATTAATCACACATGCTTCCTCTGCTTCCTCCCATTTATTGACTGATGGTTTTATGACTGCTGCTTTTTTTCTTTTTAACCTGCAGATTGTTTTTGTTTTTTCATTTCTCTTTTTGTTTTTGTCCTGTTGCTTTAGTACCTACTCTTAAGATTAGTTTTCTCTTCTTACAGTGTACCCCATCCGCTAGTTATGTCAACTTATACACCCTGTCATTCCTATTGAAGATGTATTGATTTGAAAGAAACAACGGACCAGGAATAATAATAATGAAAATATGAAAAATATGATGTTATGGATTTCTTTTTCGCAGATGAGTCCAGTCTGAAGATGAACAGTGTGGAGCACATCCCTCAGACCTTGGCCAGTCACATACGTCTCCCAGAGGAGCTTGGGAGAGCCACCATCACACAGCATGGAGCGGATATGCTAAAGCCAGATCCCAGGGACTCTTTTTACAGCAGTATGTCAAAACTCCTTCTCTGTTTGCCTTTTCATAACTCTTCATGCTGAGTTTTTGGCTTGCAATTTATATTTAAGTACATTGTAATGTGATTAAACTGCTGATATTTCTTTTATTGTTTCCTGCTTTTCATATTTTCTTGACCCCCTTCAATCTTGATATCATTATAACATTTTTAATCACATTTTTGTTTAGCAAACTGCTGAGTTGCCATGTCTTTCTCCTCAGCACCAATGATTGATCCCGCTCGGCTGCAAAACGTTCTCCCAGCGTGCCTCTACTCTCCAACCTACGTAGTCAAAGATTTCCCAATAGCCAGATACCAAGGCCTTCAGTTTGTAAGTCTAAAAAAGTGCCACATGTGACTGTTTTTGTTTAATCAACACTGAATCTTACAGATTATACTCTTAATGTAATTTACAAGGGCAGGCATTGTTAGACATGAATATTTTTGAAAAAGCTCCAAATCTCTGAATAAAAGATTAAAAGTTCATACAATGATACTCAAAAGTTTAACATTCCTGCTAAAATACCTGATTTTTTTAGGCATTTCCACATTTGTGTGACTTCTATTTTGTACAAGTCCCCTGAAAAAACAACAAAGGAATCTAACAGTATTTGAGCACTCTTTCTTTTACAGTTATCCAAATCAGTTTGATCAACTTTTTCCAGCAATTATATTTCTTAGCCTGGCAGGGCTATTTCAACAACCAATTTTTTATTCAAAAAGTATCTTTAGACTTGACTTAGATGTATCATCGATCTCACTGTATTTCTCGTCTTCAGTGTTACAGCACGACTTAAGGCTTTGGGTTAAAGCTCATTGTATTTGAAATGATTTCATCAATCCACATTAACAATAATATAATATCAATTTTAATAAAACTAGCTCCATTGAATAATGCTGCCTCCATTCACTGTTGTTATAGTATTTTTGTGGAGATTTGTTAATGCTGTGTTTGTGTAAAATATATCTTGCCCAGAGTTCAAGTTTGATTTAGTCAGGCCATAAAACCTTCTCCCATGTGTTTTGGGAGATTTAAGACAGGTCTGGATTTTATTATTTTACAGAAAACTCTTGTGTTTTGAAGCTATAGCCTCTATTTCAGAAGAATGATGAAAATATGGGACATTTGTTACATGGAGAACCTAGAAATTCTGGCTTCGTCTTCAGTGTTACTGTTAGGATTTTGAGAAGCTTTAGTTTCAGTATTGTCTTTTCTTCTTAATAAAAGTGGCCAGGGTTCATTAAATAGAAACATTAAAGGAATAGTACACCCAAAACATGATTAGCCTTCATTTTCTACTCACCCCCATGCTGAACAACACTCTGGAGTACTTTTTTGATATCTCAAATGCATCTGGAGATCTGGGAGGCTTCTTGCTGTCTGCTGACATTCAAATAATGGAGGTCTATGGTGACCGAGACAGAAAGGTCCATAAAAGTCCACAAAAAACGTGTCAATATTCCTCCATACTGCTCGTCCAATGTATTCCAAGTGTCCTGAGTGGGTAGCATCCAGAATTTACTCGAAACGAAGTCATTTAGAATGTTTTTAGAGCATAAACAGTAGTGTATAGGATTTCCTGAAAGCGCGCGCCAGCGCGCTCACGACGCTACGGAAGCCGGCACACCAAACCAGATGAAAGTGCGCATTCAGCGTCTGCTCTGCCAATAATGCAAGCGTAGAAGAAGAAATGTGCTGTTTACCTGTGCAAAGAAAGAAACAACGAAAGAAAAATGTCTGAGGACTTCAGTGTTGAGGAAGAGCATGAGTTCTTTGCCGAGCTGAATGCGCTGGTTTGGTCTGCCGGCTTCCGTAGCGTCGTGAGCGCGCTGGCGCGCACTGGCGCACGCTTTTCGCGCGCCTATACACTACTGTTTATGCTCTAAAAACATTCTAAATGACTTCGTTTCGAGTAAATTCTGGATGCTACCCACTCAGGACACTTGGAATACATTGGACGAGCAGTATGGAGGAATATTGACACGTTTTTGTGGACTTTTATGGACCTTTCTGTCTCGGTCACCATAGACCTCCATTATTTGAATGTCAGCAGACAGCAAGAAGCCTCCCAGATCTCCAGATGCATTTGAGATATCAAAAAAGTACTCCAGAGTGTTGTTCAGCATGGGGGTGAGTAGAAAATGAAGGCTAATCATGTTTTGGGTGTACTAGTCCTTTAAGGCTTTTGGCTATTAATACAAAATATGCTACACTTTATGATAACTTAGACCAAACGTGTGTAACCATGTAAATTGATTTGATTATCTACTTGTGGGTCCGAATTGGATCTATGTGTTTTTAGATAGGATTTGTTATGAATTACTGGTGATCTGACCTAAATTAATTTGAATGAGGATTGATTATTTATAAATTATGTTTCTCTTGATTTGGTTTTTTATAAGTCAAACTGTGTCCGGGGTGGCTCTCAGCCTGTAGCAAATTTAATTTAATTCATTTGTGTTTCTGAGTTCATGGGGGCTGAGCATTAAGAAATAGGAGTCCATAAAATATGCAGGTGTAAACATAAACAGAGCAATAAGAAATTGTTTCTGTTAATATCTGAAGGGGGTAGTTGTTGGGCTCTGCTACCCCCTGTAGAACTGCAGATGTTACTGCAGCAGGTATAAATATTAAATATTCTCCCTAAAATTAGATAGCTCCTTAATGTGTATTGGGTTTATTGGCAAAATTATTACATTCATCAGATGAATGTAATAAAGATATTGCCATGGCTTCGGCGACAAAGCTGAGGCTTGGACTCTTTATTAGCACAATATTGCCAGCAACCTTTCAAGGTCCTTCGAGGCATGATTTAAGAGGAAGTCCTGGGAAATACCACAGTAGTCATCGCATTGCCTGACTTTAAACATACAGAATATCTGTGGTGGGTTTTAAAATAGATATGTGCAAGGCACAAGGCCAATATTATTGGTTAACTGGAGGGTTTTTTTTTTATCCATGAGCATTGTGCTAAGATTCCTCAGGAATACTGCCAGAATTCAGTGTCTGGCTATAAATCATGTCTGCAGAAGATCATAACAGCGAAAAGGCTCTGTGAAGAATCAAATACGCTTGTCATAAAAGGGAGGAACAATTTCAAGACAGTAGTTGCTGTTAAATGTTTTTTTTTTTGTTTAAATTTAATTTGGAGAAACTACTTTTAATATCAGTTATATATTTGTCCTACAAACCTTGTTTATATTCAAGGATGAATCCTTTTAGATGTGGTTTCTTGCTTGTACATTAGACACAATAACCATCAGGTTAACCAGTTTTGATTGATTTTTAGTTTAAGTATAAAATAATGACTAAAATATTTAACTATATTTTCTTATAAGTGTGTAGTCAACATTAAAGTTGTGTATTATTCGGTACTGAGATGTAACTCTGTTTTAGGTCTACCTATCTTTTGTCTACCCTAATGACTTCACACGTCTCACCCACATGGAACGGGAAAACAAATGTTTCTACAGAGAATCCCCTATCTACTTGGAAAAGTAAGCACATTAAGCTTTATCTTTTTTGCGAGAAAAACAAACATTAATCTATGTCTTGTATAAACAAACAGCTATGCTGCTCAATGCAGAAAAAGAGTCGCGGTGACCTTGATGGTACAAGCTCATACAAACTCTCTTATTAAATACCCACAAGTCACTTTAAAACTTTGCCTTTTAGCTAATGTTTGTGGCCATATGTGGATGTTGCTTCTATTTTGTCTGCCAGATTTGGTTTCTACAAATATATGAAGATGGATGAGAAAGAAGATGACAGACCGTTCTTTTTCCCCAACCCAGATGGTAACTAATGAGCAAACATGCACTCCTCGCAAAAATGTACTCACAAAAAAGCCTGCACAAACCAAATAATCGTATTCATATTTACGCAAGTGTTCACACTTTAACATCTTCAAATCTCCTTCCTTTGAATTCAGATTTTCTTGAGGAAGAGGAGGTGGTGGATGCAGAAGATGAGGCAGAGATTGTTGGCACGCAGTCGGTTGGAAAGTCCTCTCATCCAAGTCAGTCCAGTCTTGTGCATAACACTTCCAATCAGCACTCAAAAAATGGAGCCACAGCGGTTAGCAGAGAGGAGGAGGAAGCTAAGGAGGAGCCCAAAGAAGAAGGAGATGAGGAGGAGATGGGAGATGTTGAGAATATCGTACGCCACAGAAAAAGGAAACAGTCCTCACACAGAGATAAGCAAATGGAGAGAATTCTGGACAGAGACTGGGGAAGGGATCATACCAACGCAAACAGAAGACAATATAGCAGAGAAGTACTTGATGAAGACCAACCCATTGCTGTGCTGCCAGATGTGGACAGTGTGGTCAGGGGTCGCTCTTTGGCATGGGTCTATACAGGTCCTTCTGAAAAAGACCCAAACAAAAAAGGTAAATCTCAAGGTGGTGGAGGAGATCCTGAGGCGCCTCCTAAAATCAGCAAGCCTTCACTCATTTTCCCTCAGAGGTCCTCCCTCTCTGCACTCACCAGCAAAGCAAAGCAGATCCTGAGCAATTCTGCCCATAGCAACCAACCCCATAATAGTAGCAACAAGCCTGTTGGGAGCAAGAAGGAGAAGAAAGATGAGAACAAGATCTACATCACTAGGCCTCGGCCTGCAAAGGAGAGAGAAAAAGAAAGGGAACAGCGACGAGAAAGAAGGGAGGAGAGGGCATCTCGTCATCCAAGAGAGGTGTTTCCAGGAGTCTTTTTGTACCAAACTGGGAAGACTACAAAACTGGTAAACTTGGGTCCAAGAAGACATGGTGGAAGAGGTGGCACAGGGGTGAGGCACCTTATTGGTGCCCCTCAACTTTGGCTCAACCGGCCAACTAAAGAAAGTAAGGCAGCAGTTAACAATAAGAGTTATAAAATACAGACTGAAATGGCAGAGAAGTCCGGTAACAAAGCAGCAATAGCAAAACATACAGAAAAAATAAAAAAGAGAGGGGAATCCCAAGATATAGGGACTGCTGTCACAGCTGACCTGCCCGATAAAAGGGACTTCCAAATCCCTCTGTCCTTCCATCAAAAGCCCCCTCCGACCCAAGCCTCTGAAACAAGGTTAAGCTATACAGAAAATACAATCCACAATCAGCTACGGGTCACTTCTTACCTTAGGACCTCAGAGATTACAGAATCGCAGCGTCAGCTAAACCCAGAATCCCATCCTGCAGACATTGAGCAAGATACAAACCGCTCTAATCCTGACCCTGATCCAGAGCAAGAGCTGGAACCAGAGGAGGGAGAAATGTCGGACTACAGCTACGAAGAGGTGGAGGTCCGGCCAGGTTGGGCGGAGGAGAGCATCAACTGGCAGAGGACATTCTCAGTTAATCCGATGGACTTTGAGCTACTGCGGTCGGATTGGAATGACCTGCGCTGTAATGTGTCTGGCAACCTCCAGCTGGCAGAGAGTGAAGTGGTGGATGTGCTGGCACAGTACATGGAAAAACTCAATGAACGTAACGGAGGGTAAGGAATCAGGGGTGCCCTACAGTGCTTTCCAAAAGTATTTAAACCTTTGAACTTTTCAACCTTTTGCCATAATTCAGGCTACAAAAATAAAGGTATAAAATTGTATTTTTTTTTGTGAAGAATCAACAAGTGGGACATAATCATGAAGTGGAACAAAATTTATTGGATATTCTTAACTGCTTTTAATAGATAAAAAACTGAAAATTGGGTTCACAAAATAGATAGAAAAAAAATCCCTTTATTGTCCCACAATTGGAAAATTGTGATATTCAACCCCCTCGAGTTAATGCTTTGTAGCAATATCTTTTGCTGTGCTTACAGCTGCAAGTCGCTTGGGGTAATGTCCCTATGAGTTTTGCACATAGGAATTTTTTTCCATTCTTCCCTGCAAAACAGCTTGAGCTCAGCAAGGTTGTATAGAGAGAAAACAGCAGTTTTCAGTTCTTATCACAGATTCCCGATTGGATTCAGGTCTGGACTTTGACTTGGCCATTCTAAGACCTGGATATGTTTATTTGTGAACCATTATATTGTAGATTTTGCTTTATGTTTTGGATCATGTTTGTTGGAAGATAAGACCTATTCTCAGATCTCTTGCAGACTCCAACAAGCTTTCTTCCACAAAGGTTCTATATTTGGCTCCATCCATCTTCCCATCAATTTTAACCATCATCCCTGTCCCTTCTAAAGAAAAGAGGGCCCAAAGCATGATGCTGCCACCAACATATTTGACATGGTGTGTTCATGGTGACGAACTTGGTTGCTTTTACACCAAACATAACATTTTGCATTGTTGCCAAAAATTTCAATTTTGGTTTCATCTGACAGGAGCATACTCTTCCACACGTTTGCTTTGTCTCCCTGGTGGCTTGTGGCAAACTGTAAACGATGCTTTTTTTATGGATATCTTTTAATATAGGGCTTTCTTCCCTAAAGGCCAGATTATGGTCATCTAGGCTTAATTTCTGATCTGTCTTCTCCTTTATTTGAGCTGAAAATTTAGAGTGATGGCTGGGTCATTGTAGATGTGCAGTGCTCTGATACTCCGTCCATTTCAATATTATAACTTGCACAGTCCTACTTTAAACTTCTCCACAACAGTATCTCTGACCTGCCTGGTGTATTCCTTGTTCTTCAAAGCAGATGGATTCTATTTATCATCAGTCATTTAGGTCAACATTGAATCATTCAGAGATCCTCACTTAACTTCTGGTGAGAGTTTGTTGCCCGACCGATTTTTTTAGTTATTTTTATTTTTTTGCATGCCCCACTGTTAAGGTTTTTTTTTATTCCTTTATCCGACAAACTCTGTTCCACTTGGTAATTGTGTTCCACTTGTTGATTCTTCACAAAGAATTACAACTTTATGTCTTTATGTTTGTAGCCCGAAATGTGGCAAAAATACTCTTGCAAGGCACTCTAGTATAGTTTGGGGTATCTACTATCTTGAGACTTTCAAATGCATCTTTTCATCACATGTGAATCAAACAAAAGGATTTGCTGGGCTTCAAGAGGGTTTAATGCCAATGATGGACTTGAGCCATTTTAATTTCAGTATGTTGGAGTTAGGTAAAATAATAAGGGCACTGAAATAAATCTTTCTGCAAGCTCTTTTTTTTTATTGGATAGGATAAGTTATTAAAGCCCTGGAACTTCCTTGGATGTTTCCCAAAAACAATAATTTACCTTTTAGGAATTCTATGTGATAGACCAACACACGGTAGTTCACAGGTAGTTCTGAAACTGAACAAAAAAAAAAAAAAAGATGAATTGAGATGAGTTTAAAATTTTTCACACTGGATAGTTCAGTGCATTTATATTAATACATACCCCAAAACTCTGACATGCCTAAATAAAGGCATTATAACCAATTAGAAAATGAAGTCAACTTATTTGCGGTTAAATATAATTGTAAAATTCGTAAAAGATTTAAGCACTAGTTGTAACATGCCAAAATCTGATTTCAAGTGAAATATATAGTCAAGAAATATTGATGGCAATCTGTATTTTTTAGGTTAAACTGACTTTTTCGATATTTATTGCAAATGCACTTTTCATTTCTTTTTTCTTTCTTTACTTACCACCCATGCTTATAAATAATTTAATTATTGCTTAAACTTCAAACCCCATCTCACAAATAGTAAAGATTTTAGATTATATAAAGTCAATGAAATCTATTTCAGGCTAATTTTATTTCATACCTACTTTAGTGTCCTTAAGAATTTCCACACGTTCTCCAGGATTTACACCCTGCTGAGAATCATCAATGTTGAGAAGCGTCGTGATTCGGCGAGGGGGAACCGCTACCTGGTAGAGCTGGAGTTGATGGAGAGAGGCCGCAGTGTGGTACGACTCTCAGAGTACATTTACCTGTTGCTGCACCGTGGAAGACAAGGAGAAGAAAGCGTAGAGAACACGGACACTGCTCCAGCCTCTGCCCCGGCCGTGCTTCCCTCCGCACCCACAACCAGCTTCACAACCCAGCACCCATCTCCTTCCACTAGGTCCTCACTGCGGCCTGGAGCAACACCGTGGAGCACTGCTTATGCTAAGCCTCTTCTCTGCCAGCCTGTCATGCTGCAGTGGAAGCGAGATGTCATGGTGCACTTTGTGGTGCCAGGTCAGTTAAAAGATTTTCTTGGCCAAAAATTGTTAAGTGTATCATAAGAGAGGCTACTTAAAAGAAAAATACAAATCTCTGGCCTTTTCCGTATGCCTTGCTCTCCTCTAGTGAAAAACCAGGCTCGTTGGGTACAGCAGTTTATTTCGGACATGGAAAATCTTCACCGGCAAACAAAGGATGACAACTTCAGCATCATCATCGTCGACTTTGAGAGTGAGGACATGGACGTGGAGCATGCTCTCAGAGAGAGCAGTGTGCCAAAGTGGGTGATAGGAAGATGTCTAGTAGCATGAGTAGAAATAAAACCTCATGGCTCTGAGTTTCAGATTTTCCAAGTACAGTAACAGATACTTTGAAAAAGTGGTACAACAGAACCTCAAATTAAAGAGTTCAATAATATATAAATCACTGGTTATTTGATTATTTGACCTGTTATAAAATATGTCCCTTTAGAATGTGCTTGCAGGCACTATTAATAAAACCCTTATTCTGTTTAAACATTTCAGCTGAAAACATTTTTTAAAGACAACATAAAGACATTTTTTGCCTTTGCAAATTCTTCTTCTAGCATCTGACCAATATAAAGCAACAATATTTAGGTGCAGTTTAGGCAGTTGGGTTAAGAACCTTCTGCTTTATTATTCTATTATAGAATAAAGACCAATATGTGATATTCAGGTTTAAAGCAATGGAAGAGTAATTTTCAAAAACAGCTCCCCATTGATGCATAATATCTATATGCTCAGTTTCTTAAAACACAAACCCAACCACAGCTAAATCTTTGGAGTCATAAACTTCCTACATTCCATGCTTGCTGTGTGCACTACTCTGCCTACAGATGTCAAAATGTTTACATAATACATTTTCTACTTCCAAATAAATGTAAATTTGTGTTGTCAGTTTGAGCTTTACTCATTTCAATTTTAAATCTAAAGCTTTATTTAAAAAGGCACTTGGAGAATTTCATATTAACTAAGGTGGTTTGTGCTTTAAAAGGTCTGATGACCTCAAGATACTGGGGGTTACTGATGTTTTTGTTTGGATTTGTTTTTACAGATATGAGTATCTCAGAAGAGAGGGGAACTTTGAGCGCTCTGCAGGACTGCAAATTGGAGTGGACACCATTAAGGTTAGACAAACAAACACACTAAAGGAAGACAGCAGTGTGTGAGCTGGGATGGTAAAACCCCTCGCCCAAGGTCAGACAGTGACCACTCAACCTTTTCTGGCTGATGGCCAGATGGAAAAAAGTGCTCATGCATAATGAATCTATCATTGATGGTACGGTCTGTCAGTATCCACTTGCCCTCATCTGCAAGTCTCCTCCTGCTTCCTTTGGCCATCTCCCACTGAGCCAGGCTATGGGTTGACGGGGAATTGCTTAGACAGAACACGTCATCCCTTCTGTTTTGTGTATGTCAAAGCTGTCACATCAATTCCTTTTTATGGGTGTGCCTGCGACCCCGCTGAATCCTCCATTGGGTTCTCGATCACACACCCGTGCACACCAAGCCAGACTGGGCTCAGCGCTTCCAAAAATCTGAATAGACGTTGATCCTCCAGTTGGGTTTCAGGGCTGTCAGTGTGGGATGACATAGATGTCACTCATGTCTAAATGACCCCTGGCATCTTCAAGTTAAGACAGGCTACTGAAGCCTGGCTTAGACTTCTCCCATCTTTCAATCTTAAAATGCTAAATTAAACACAAGTGAACAATCACTCAGATTTACATCCTTCCAGCTCTTTCTATACTTTGCTTTGTTCAACACAAAAAAACAATATACATTAACAGAGGTTAATTAAACCCAACAATCCTTAAAATTAGGAAATGTTTGATTTTTCTCTTGCAGGACAGCCACAGTATTGTTTTCCTGTGTGATCTGCATATACACTTCCCTCTCAACATACTGGAAAGCATCAGGAAGCACTGTGTGGAGGGACGCCTTGCGTTTGCCCCCATCGTCATGAGGCTGAGCTGTGGTAGTTCACCCATGGAGCCCGATGGTAGGATGAGATCGCCCAAATAAAAGCCTTACACATGTAAACACATCGGTTCAGACAGACGCTACTGAGTGTGGATTTTTGTTCCGATTTTTAAATCTCTAGAAGTTTTTTAATTTGACCCATGCCGCCATCTCGTTTCTTTAACTTATCTAAACTGTTATTCAGTTGGACCTTTCCTTTGTTTTGTTCTGCAGGTTATTGGGAAGTTAATGGCTTCGGTCTGTTTGGGATTTACAAGTCAGATTTCGACAAGATTGGAGGAATGAACACAGAGGAATTCAAAGACCGCTGGGGAGGAGAAGATTGGGAACTTCTGGATAGGTAAATTAGTTAACTGAGATAATGATCCATTGATTCTCTCAGAATAATTGTACCTGTTTCTTATTCCCTCTAGTGTGCCCTTCCTTCTTTGTCTGCTTTCTTTTATGCTTGAATCCTGCCACTTATTGCCCTTTCATTCTTTTGTCATAGAGTATCTTTTCTTCATTTTTTACTTGCATTTGCCATATTTTCTTTCTTTTTTTATCTTATATCCTTCCTCCTACCTTCTAAGTGTCAGAATTTTATTTTTTTGGAATGTCAGTAAAAAATATTCTGCTTGTTCGATAAAGTTTTCATGTCTTATATCCTTACATCTGACCCAGGAGGCAGGTAATAAGATATAAAAGCTCATAAAGGAGAGTGGAAAAAAATGTCATAAACAATAAGAAGAAATAGTGCAAATCACAGATGATAATTAACAATGATAAAAATACCACTGCTTTAATTGTTGATTTTATGCAGCCCTGTTTCTAATCTTTTTGCACAAACAAAAAATAATAATCCCACATCACTATGTTCACCAAAGGGATACCATAAAGTCACAACTAAAACTATATCTGTAGAAATGCATAGCTCAAACGACCTTTTAGCCATAGAAAAATGTTTTGGAAAACACATCTCAACCTTTCTATATTTCAATTTCTTTTCTATACTGACAATGGCTTGATTTTTTTTTTACTTTGCACAAATTTCTAGTATTTGGAAATTAGCCAGTCTAAACACAGAGATTTATTTATGTGACGATCCTAACCCTAACACCCCTTTCACACTGGCCCGAAAAACCAATTTAAACCTGGGAACAATCAGCTTTTAACTGCAGTGGAATTAGCTCACTGACGTCTACCAAGGTCAAACAACTCGGCAAGCGATGCACGTTAAAATCGAAATGATAAAGAATATTGACTACTGTATGCTATGGCTTCTGTCCATGTTGCTCTCCATTATTTACTTCCCTGATTTTCGTCACACTGTTTACAACATCAAATGTCACCCAGGGTGATGGCAACAAATGTCAACCGGTTATCAACCTGTGTTGCCACACAGGTTTGTAGTGAAATAGGAAAAGATCCAAAAGCCAATTGTAAGTGGTTCAACTTGTTTTTGAAAAACCCGGGTTTCAGTGGGAAAGAGGATTATGTTTCTTCAATTCATGCATTGACACAGTAAAGGAAAATGTTCAAAACAGAACAACCTTCCATAGAAAAACATTATTTGGATGTTTTAATGTCATGTCCTCATTTCAAGCAATATGTTTTTGTAATGTTTCCTCATCTTCCCCTGCAGAGTGCTGCAGAACGGTTTGGAAGTGGAAAGGCTACGTTTAAGGAACTTCTTTCACTACTACCACTCCAAAAGAGGCATGTGGAATGCTCAGAACAAGAAAACTCCAAAAGGATAGTTGGACATTTTGCTCAGATTATCCTGAAACCCACCTACAGACCCACTGTGTTACAGAGAGACTAGTAAGAGCTCACTCACTGCCTGAACTTTGCCCTTTTTTTCAGAACAGGCTTTAACGAGAGGCTCTGTTTCCCTACCGGGTTCTGTTGCAAAATTAGTCTGGGTGAGGAAACTGAGTCCAAATGGGAGGTTTTGGGGGGGGCGTCACTCTCTCCGCAGACAGGCCTGAGTCATCACTTCGCCTCACTGACTGAACTACTGTACAGAGAAAAGTTATTTTTGTCTTTTTTCTCTGTTCTTTTTGGTGCAATTTTTTTCAGACAGAATGGAAAGAAGCCGTTTTGTGAATGGAGGTGTGTGCGGAGGTTTGTATGTACGGGTGTGTATGTGTGGGTGTGCTTGGGTGTGCTTAAGATTAAATTAAGCACCTTTTTCTAACATGATGTAAAAACAACCTAAGAGCTTTTTCTAACCTGCTCTTCCATTTGAGCTAAATAGAATGTCCATCAAATGTTATGTATCTGATTCACATCTTGTGACCTACAGAAGCTTATAGTAGAGGTAACGCAGTATTTCTAAATGCATCAGCAACTACATGCTGGATGATAGAGGTGCTGATCTCTTAACTAGATCCGTTCATCCTCCAGTCATTTACATTCTTTTATTCTTTTTATGTTCAAATACTTTTCAATCCACTTAAATATTCCATTGTAATGTCAGGACAATAAATTAAAGTACGTTCTTGTTACAAATGGCTATCTTTGAAAACTCTGTTTACTTAGGTCTATGCTGCTGTTGTTTGAATAGAAGATTCATTTATCCTCAATGATGCAGTAACATGAGTGGGTGCTCTTTTGTTTGGTTTTGAATAAACTTTAAGTTGTACTCTGTAACTTCGACAAACAAGAAATATTTTACCGTTCCTAATTTTTTTGTGAACAGGAAAACAAAACTATTCGTGTTAATTTACAGTCGGCTGAGTGTTTCAGAGTGTACAGTGTTTGCCTGGCATACGACAATCCTGGTAGAGATGTATAAAAAGCCTTTATCTTATTTCAATAAACAAAAACAATTCTATTTTTTTATTTAAAGTTCATTTATTCAGTGAAGAAAAAAAAAACTTTTGGAAAATCTTTCAATAAACTATGTTTAATGGTTATTTATGTGTAAACTTAGCTTCTTTGAACACGCAACTTTAGATCACCAGGGGCGCTTAGCCTGTAACTGTCCATATCTTGCTTCTACTAAACATTGAAAATAATAGCTAAGATATAGGAATATATACTAGGAGCAAAGTGTTAACTTACCAGTCTAATAATAAAGTAGAGAAAAGAGAATCAGTTTTACATAAGGCTTCGTCTTTCAGCAAACAAACTGCTTTCCAAGATCGACTCTTGCTTTTCCTTGCGGACTATACCTTTCACATTTTCTCTTTTTAGCCTCCTCAGAAGGTTTAAACTGTTTCCTTGCCTCAGCCGTGACCAGTAGTTGAGAAGGTGGAAAAATAGCAAAAGCCTTTAGCTCCATGACGATATCAGAGCCTGTGGCCATAAAGCAATACGTTCTTCCAGGTCAGTAAGTTTTACGTCATCAATGTGGGATGGCTTCCATTCAGTCTGTTAATGAAAAGGAGGGATGTTTAATACATCACTTTAAGCTGATTGGGTGACAAGCCAGCTAGTACCTGCCTTCCATAAAACGCTTTTAGCCAACCGTATCAACGAATCATAACGTTTCCCACCTACAACCAAGAAATTGTGACTATTTTAGGTAAAACTGAGTCAATTGTGTTATTGTCAGGTGAGTCCTCCAGTTCAGCCTTGTTTGTAATGTGTCGTCATTCCTACATGTACAGCCCCGAAAAACACTGCTGGCATTTCATTGGCCCAAGACGGCTTTATTAGAGGGAGTCTTTCAAGATGGATTTGTTGTGAGACTTAGAACTCAGATCTCATGACAATCCAGCTTGCAGTGTAAGGTTAAGTGATGGTGCGTCTTCTACCAACTTACAAAAGCAGTATTTCAAGAGGGGAGCCCCGCTCGTAGCATTGATGGTGTCAAGCGCTGTTTATTGCCTGAGGAATCATTTAAAATAACTCATATGTGTCAGCTCTTTAGGTCACAAAGTCTGCGGTGTGCCTTTAAAAGAAATAGAATTGAAGTAGCGATTCATTTATATTTTATGTTTAAACCTGAGATCTACCCTTCAGCTCCATCTATTCCACAGACGGCTGAGAATTTACAGACACTGGACTTTTTCTCTTCAGGGTTTCCCAGGGGCATACTGTAAATTTGACCTAACGATATGCCCATATTTCTCCTACTGACACAAACGGTGAGCAAGATTTTAACAATTTGTGAAGAGGGCCACCTTTGTGATCACATAAGGAATAACTGAGGTTATATGCTGCCATCTAGTAATTGTGGAAACATACCGGAAGGCCCTTACAGCTACTCTACATACATCCATCATAACTATGAAGTTCAACTCAACTCTGAAGGGATTTGGTCACATAATTTTAAGGTTAAACTTTTACTGTAAGCTAAAAAAAAACCAAGATGAGTTTAGCTGAGCAAACAGGATGAAAAGACCCAGCATTCGCTGCCACACAGGGGATACAGTTTCTATTTTGAATAGCCTGGAAACCTTTGCTGACAGCATGGCATCACAAACTCTTAAAAAAAACAGGACATTTTGAAGAGAAAACCCCTGGTGGGCTATAGCAATAATTTGAAAACAGGTTGTCATTTGTACTAAATCTTCAGGCCATAGAATCCATCTTCGGTCAAATGTAAAATAACTTGTGGGTGAGCTCAAAAAGGAGGGAGCGTTAGATTGGATGCAGGTTTCTGGAAACTAGAAACGTCTTTATAAAGCAATTTTAATAGCAACTAACTGAGTAAAAAAAATGTTTCTTGTTGAGGCCATTTGCTTGGTCATCATACCCTGTTTAGGTTACTTCTTGGAAATGATTATGCAATCAACAAACTTTACGTGGTTGCTATTTTGTGAGTCAGAAGCAGAAAAGTTTGAAAGTACTGATCTGAAGAAAGTTTGAGATACTACATTAAATGCCGACAATTGTTCTTCTCAAAACTATATATTTCCTCACTGAATAATGATTTCAATTAAAGTATAAGTTTCAGTTAAAGATTTTATTTTTTTTATTTTTTTTTTTTTACTTTATGTTTCAGAGTGAGACAATGCAACTGTAATTAAAGGTGGATTCTCCTGGGAGCTTTTTGTACATCTTTACTTGGATTTATTAAAAAAGATATACTGGTAATTTTGAGATCAAACCTAGCAGAATGTCACATGAACAGCTATCAAAAACATGAATTGTCTTTTACATTGAAGAAACCAGCATCTGTGCTTAGTGGGATGATACTTGGCTCTTTCCAAACGTGTGCCTTTATCAGGGTTCGGCTGCAAGCAGTTTTTTTTTCTTTCTTCTTTTTTTACTATTACTCTTAAACTCCATAGAGAGCAGGGACTGAATGACACATAAAGTTATTTATCAACAGACTGTACTGTCACTGTAAACTCAGATACACTGTAAAATTAGGATTTTTGTGTTTTATATGATGGTTTATTGACATGTCAGTGTGTTTTTTTTGTGTGTCATGATAAATTAAAAAAGGAAGATATAAACACTGAGAATGAGCTGGAGCAGACGGTTGATAGAGAGTGGGGAGCAGCTGCAGTCTAACAGGATCCCACCTGCTCTTATTATTTTGTCTGGGGGCCATGCTCTTAATGCGTCTGTTTATGCAGCATGGGCATCAGCTAGATCGGATGTATACTGTTAGAGCTAAAGATAGGATATTGACTTTGATTGTTAGAATTTTATTTCATCTTCTACTGGAAAAAGGCCTATACTGTACATTATTTAACACAGGACTATTTAAAAATATAACAAAAAAAAACAAATAAATAAATACAGTATATATGTAATAAATCTTCATATAGGAAAATACATTCTGGGGTAATTTCTGTGAAATTGTTTTGTAGAGAAAATATTTTAAGAATGTATTGTATCTTTATTTTGATTTGTCATTTTTTTGCAAATAAAATTTTATGCTTATGTCTGGAATTCTTTTTTTTGTGTGCGCACATTTTCTGTTTAGGAATCAGATTGCTTATTTAAGCTTAATGGTTATCTAAGAGGAAGGAATAATAATAATCGGGTATGGATGCCATGCCTCATGTCACCACATAGTGGTGCTAAAACCAAGTAAGCTTTCAGGAACAGCTCTTTTCCAGCATACCTGAATCTAATGGCTGAATTGCCTCAGCATATCATTCAGCTCAGCAGATGCCTGTAACAAACCTCTTATCTGATACAGGTGTTCAGGAGAGGGGATGCATCTTAAAGTTTCCGGATGCTAGCTCTAAACAACCATACTAGTGCAGCCAAGATGTACATGAACGAGCAAGAAAGTTGTCAAAACTTTGGAATGCATGAACATGTAAAAGGTTTGTCCAGATTTTTATAGAAGATGGGACTTATTTAATCAATGTGATGAAATCAGTGAAATCCTCTTTGTATAACATGGGCCTCAGATTTCTTCAAAAAGTTGAAAAAATCTTACACCCACCATAGAGTCTAAATTTGTTTTTATGTATCCAGTCATAGTGAATATTTACACCTATCAATAATGAGCAATAAGTCTTTCTGTTAAGGAGATAGATCATCATTTTTCCTGCCAGTGTCTTAATTTACCACGTGACCAATTTTCTCAGAACTGACATATTTCTGGACCTCATCTGATATTTATAGACTAGTTCCCTCTCCCAGGGTATGCAGCTTTGTTTGTGTGGTTAAGCACTTGGAAACCATGACGTTAGGTTTGTTAGTCACTTTGCCTTCAGACTTGATGAGGCAAGTGTAAACTGTCTCATCTGATCAGCTGCCTTTTAAGAAGCTTTCATTCATTAACTGTACATGACAGGAATGGCTGATACCTCCCACTTCCTCTGTCTGCATGATTCATGACCAACATGTAATGTCTGTAGGTTGTTCCATTCTATTGTAAATAATGTTTATGTTTCTGGGACCCATTCCTGGGAAGTTTGATGATGGTATTTCTTTTATTTCAGACAGACACTTTACCTACAAAATGCAATAATAATAAAGACTAGACTTTTACGTTTCTAAGTGTAAATACAAAACTTTACTATTTTATTTACAGACTCTAATACATGTTAATGCACAAAGTATTTGATGACCTTGAGTCTGAAAAAAGGAGTATGATGAAGTTTAACTTAATTCCTGTTTCTAGTATCCAAAATGAGGAGGGAAAAATTATAATGACTATATTAATATTTCCTGAGCAATGAAAGTAATACATACTCTCATATATTATATAAATATGCATCTTCCTGCATATATACAGATAAGTATAGTTTGTCACATTAAAACCAGCTTTTATGTTTTGTTTAGGATTCTGAAGGCCCATTGCAAAGTGGAACATGGGAGATGGAAATAAAATAACAATAAAACGGTTTATTTGGTTAAATTATTTATCTTTTACCAATGGAAATCAAATATGGAGATATATACATTATTATAGCACCTGTCATTACCATTCTTCTTTGTATTATAGCAGGTAGTTATAATAGAGAGATTGTAAAAACAGAAAAACTCAAGTAAAGCCACATTTAATTATTTTTTCTTCCCTTTGGGATTAATAATGTATTTTTTAATTGAAATGAATGATCTCACTTGCATTGATGAACCTGCTTCTATCTATAGTAAACCATTCCATTGTATCTGGCTGTATGTTTGCTGATGGTGGTATTCACAGTTTGGATGATGACCTTCTGGCTTTTGAAAATTTTTTGTTTGTATCAAGGACCGATCTATGTTTTTGCTCTACCGTCTTTCTGTCTACTCCATCTAGCTTTTCTCTCTCTGTTTAAGAAAAGCAACTTCACCGCATGATGCTGTCCCGGTCCGCAACATGTCTCTTTGTGGTGGGATTGTGTTTTCTGGTTCAGCAGTGTTGGTTTCTCTTGGACTGAACAGTATTCTATAATTTGTTTAAATATCGAGGCGCATGGATCATAATCCCTCTTTGCTTTAAACTTTTAGAACAACTTTATCCACAACCTACCTCAGTGAGCTTTTTGCTTTTCATAACGCGGTTTGTCCACTAATGTTCCCTAACAAATCTCAACGGTCTTCAGTGAACAGCTGTGTTTATACTTGGAGACTTCAGTAGGCGGATGCTTTGGATGTTTTTAGGAGTGTCAGAGTAAAAAATTGTGGAATATGATGCAGGATGCACATTTAGCATTTTCATTTGTAAGATTTTAAAGTGTGTTTTCTTTTTCTTTAACTTCACAATGATACACTGCTGCACAATGTGAGGATATTTTAATAAACTCTCATTAAGATGCATTGAATTTTGTAGATGTAACATGACAATAATTTTAAAGTCATAGAATAGAAACCTTTTCATAAGGAACTGAACATGTATGCTGCTCCCTGTAATATTTATGTTTGTCTTGGTGTGAGAAAGAACCACTGATTCAAACATCTCTGACATAAACCCATTAAGTAATACAGTTGGACCTTGTCCCAGAGATGACACACCCTACTTCTGTGTGTGAGTTCAGTGTGATTAAAAATGGCAGAATGTTTTCTCCCCTTTCCCCATAAGAATGCAAAGTTGCTCAATGAGTCATCCAAACTGCTGCAGTTACTTTACAGATATTCAGTTTTTGTTCCAAAAAATAAGGGTTTAAAGAAGTATTACCTCTAATTAGCTGTTAAGGAAGAAGCACCATCGCATTTATGGAAATTTTAAAATGGAAGAAAAACATGCACGTATGTGTTAACCACTACATAATAGATATAATCTTTAAAGCTCTTTCAGTGAATACTCTAAGCCTCTGTAAGTCCCACTAAACAATAACCAACCTTTGTATATTCAGCTTTAAATGGACAGTTTCTGTCATCGTTTGGACTTTGAAACTGATGTCTCACAGCTAGACATCAGTTTCAAGTGACACAATCCACTCCAGACACACAATATGGTGAGTAACTGAGTACAAGCTGCTGATTTACTAATCACAACATAAATGTTTATAGCTTACACTAATTAATTAATTCATTAGTATCATACAAATGTGGGAACAGTAATTAATTTATGCAAATTTGACATAAGTGCAACTGCCCATGGTGACCCTGAGGGCCCTAAGTTTGATTCGTAGAGGACATGTTAATAAATGTACAATCTAATTACACTTTAAGGAACATTTTAAGAAATGGAAGGTTTAGTGAATAGTCACAATGTAAAGCTGCTCTCAGAACTGAGCCGGTTTTTGAGATTGGCTAAATTCTATATGCACTATTACACCGAAATAGCTGCAACAAGTATCTTCTACTTTTCTTACCCTTTTACACTTCTATGTAAAATTGCAATTTAGCTTATAATATAGCGTGCTAAAAGGTTTTAGGTTCTAGAAATGAATTGTTTTCAACTGCCCACTTGGCCAGAATTTTTTGGTCAAAGTAAACCTCCAAAATACCTTGATTTTTTAAATATTTGAATTAAGCCTACTGATATAATAAGTTAGAAATTTTAAGAAAATACAATGTAAATAAACTCTTTGAATGCAATTATTTTATGATTAGGAGTTGAATTAAACACACAGTAAGTAATTTTCTGTAAATTATCTGAAGCTAAATAGATTGTCACTTTTTTTTTAAATAGTAATTGCTTCACTTGTTACAGCTGTTTAAAGTTTAATTCCACAAAAATACTGAACAAATAACTGATCTTGTAAAGGCACAGCTTTTATTTAGTTATTTAGGTCTTTAAATTATCGATGATTAAATCTACATATGTTCTGTTTGATTGGCTGATAGAGAATTCAGCCTTGCCCTGATTGGTGGTCCAGGCATCCATGCGTTGTCATTCATCTGTGGCCCCGCCCCTAACTAATCTGAAGTTCGCTGATGAGCTCCTGCTGATGAGTGTCCATGACGCGCCTCTGTGGAAGGAGAGTTAAGCCGTTATCGGACTTTTTTAAGTGTTTTTCTTTCATTTTCAGACCGCCGTTCAGCCAAACAGGACTTTTTCATCCATGAAACCGAGAGTGGTTCAGTTCACAGCGGGATTCAGGTCTGTCGGGATTTAAAAGACCTGTCCTGTTGTTGGGAAAAGTTCGGCGGAAAGGTGAGACTGGTTCTCTTTAGCTTTTCGCTGCTGTTTTTAAATAACTTTTTCAATGAAAAAGAGTATTTAGTAGGTACAAGTAACTCTATAACAGAAAAAAAACCTCTCCCCTGCTCTCAACTGCAGAGTCGGCATGTCGGGGATGAGTTGCGCTGCGTAAAAACCAGTCTGACCAGCTTTGCGGGAAGTTTCTACAGCTGCTCTGACTGCCTCACAGCTAAACCAAAGTTTCTCCGCGCATCTGTAGTGACTGCCGCTTCCCAAAAATGGCAGGTCTGAGCAATGTCCACATGAAAACCCTGGAGGACCTGACGCTGGACTCTGGATACGGGGCGGGGGACTCCTGTAAGTCCCTCAGCCTGTCCTCCTCCAAGTCAAACTCTCAGGCCTTCATGTCGACCCCTCACCGGGGGAACTGGTGGTATTACTCTGGATCTATGAACAGCAGGAACAACAGCTGGGACACGGTTAACACGGTCCTCCCCGAAGACCCGGAGGACATCTTCTCCAAGTGCCACCGCTTACCTGAGCTGGAAGAGTTCCCCTGGTCTGAGGAGGAGGTGGCCAGGATTTTGCGTAAAGTGGCAGAGAGCGGTGGGGGTGCCAAGTGGGGGTCCGCGGCTGTCTTCTCCCAGGATGCGGTTAGGCGTCTGTCCGCTCTCCTCCGCAGGGCTCTCATCCGCATCTCCAGAGAGGCGCAGCGCCTCAGCGTCATGCACTGCAGATGCACGCGATTCGAGGTGCAAAGCGCCATGAGGCTCGTTCTCAGCTGGGCCCTGGCGGACCACTGCGTCTCCGCCACCGTCAAAGCCATCTCCATGTACTGCATGAGCGCAGGTGAGCTGCTGAGGAAGGGCAAGTCTGCCCGCTGTGGGCTCTCTTTCTCCGTGGGGCGATTCTTCCGCTGGATGGTGGACACCCGCATCTCTGTGCGTATCCACGAGTACGCAGCGATCAGCCTGACTGCGTGCATGGAGGCTCTGGTGGAGGAGATAGGTTTCAGGGTGCTGATGGCCGAAAGGGGTCATTCGGGGTCGGATGTGGGGCCTGGATGCGCCCCAGTCAGCGCTGAGGCCCTGGAGGCGGTGGTGAACAATGATGCCGAGCTGTGGGGAGTCCTGCAACATTATGAGCACCTGATCTGCGGGAAGAACGCCAATGGTGAGCACACTTTTGTTTTTGTTTTTATCTTATAGATCAATCAGACTTTTCAAACACCCTATTATATAACATTTATGTGAGTTAACTGGGATGGTAACAGCAAAAAAAAAAATTGGATGAAAATCTGAATACCCCGTACTTTGAAAAGACTTGTGATGACCCACACAGTTATGATAGTTGACAGTTCCAAACACCTTCCATGGGAGGAGTGAGCCACAAAGGTTGATTACTGAGGAAACTGGCTGCGCCCAGCCATGTTTACAGAAAGTGGAAGGGAAAAGTTCTGATTGGTACACTACAAACATCCATCCATCTATCCATCCGGGCTATAAACTAAAAGGTTATATATATGGTTATATATATTTGACTTTGAGACTGATTGTCAAACTGTGTACTGTTGCTACACATGTTTCCAGAACGCCAAAAACAACCATTAAATTCATGAAGAACTTGAATCCAAATGAGGTAGTTTTATGCACCTTCATAAGTTTTAAATCTCTTAATAATTTAGCATTTTTTTCCTGTCTGTCTGAGTTTTGTTACTTTAAATGTATACACTTCTCCTTAACCCTAATGACTCTGTAATATGGGCTTGGCTGGGATCAAGACCCCAACTGAGCCTCTGTTTAGTGTCCTATACAATCCTGCTGGCTTAAATGACATCGTCCTGCGGCTTGTTTTTCTCTGTGTTCATGCATGAGAAAACTTCACCAGAATCCTTTTCCTCTGTCATGAGGTCTCCCCCCTTTGAATGCTGGACACAGCTTTTTCACTCTGGCACAGCCCGGCGTGTGGAAAAGGTGAACTGTAGCTTGCTGCTGGATACAATAGCAGCTCTTTGTGAATGAGTGCCTGATGGATTGGTTCTTAATTTGACTTGTCAGAATAGGAAAACAACGGTGCAGGCATATCTAAGAACAAAGAAAGTATTTTTCCCTCTAACCAGCTTCACATTACAACCTAGAGAGCTGCATTCTGTTTTCAGCAGCTACATTTGTCCCCAGATTCTTTGCAGTTGAGAGCTCAAATGTCACTTGAACTGAGGCAAAATACCAGTGTTTTTTTTGTTGTTGTTTTTTTTTCTTCCCAATGCAGCCTTGTGTTCACTCTGTACTTTGGTTGCAGTATTCACTCCATTGCTTCAAAGTCAGAAGTTTCTTTTTCCTGTTCTTTTTTCCTTCTCTTGCATTAATTCACCTCCACTGTCACACCTCCTCAGCCTCCCTACACCTTTTAATTCAAGCTCCAGCTGTGCATCCTGCTCCTTGTCTCATTTTTTTCCCCCTTCCGCCCTCCTATCCCTTTCCATCAAAATCCTTTTCTAAGAAATCCATATTTTCCAATCTGAGAACATGCATAGCGCTATTTCCATGACTGTGTTGGCAGTCCAGTGATGAGCTGATTTACGAGCCAGCGCTGGGACAATGTAACAACTCTTTGTTTGTGGCCTACTACCAGCTCCCTGGAGCAGAACTCTTTATTGCGGCACAATGGCCTTTTGTTGTGTGATCCTGCAGCTCAGTCCAATACAGAGGCATTGAAAACAAATGCAAGGGAAGCGCATGCATCCGTGTTCATTATAGACAAGGGAGAAAGTGAGGGGTGATGGCTAGAATCCCAGTAATGCATTTAGAGGGCGAAGTCCTCCTCTAAGGAGAGTCTTCATAATAAAATAAAAACTTTCAATCCAACTATGGTGGAACTGAGGCTTTTATTTAAACCCTGCCAGCTGAATTCAGTTAGCATTTAACTAAATTTATCTTTTTGCTCTAGCAGTTCTTCATTGCTTCCTTCTAATGTCTGATTCTGGTCAGCTTCCAGTGGCTTTAACTACTCCATTAGGTATCCAGCTGCATTGTCCAGGACTTGACGGCTGCCACATGCTCAAGCTGGCGCTGCTTCATTGCAAAATAGGTCCAGTATTTAGCCAGATGTCGGCATGACTTTCCTAACTGGACTATTTTGTGTGTTCATTCTTTTTTCTTTTTTTTTTCTTTGGGGGGGGGGATCTGTGTGTAATAACAACAGTGTTCCTCTGACTCTGGCTTTTTATAGAATCAGTGCTGGTCATGAAAGCCACATATTGCTCTACCACCTTCCTCCTGTAACTCCACCCCCTAAAAGTGGCTTTCAGCTTACTGTTGATGGTTCTCCCTCCCCCAAAAACAAAAAAAGAAATAGGAATGCCCATTTAATGCAAATAAGAATTTCAGATGATCAAATGAAACTTAACTCCATATTTTTGTCTTTTTAAAGTTTCGTCCTTTTTTATTTTTTAATTTAACATCTTTCCAACATCTGGAACTCTTTAAGTCAGAAATGACTTAAACGGCTCCAAAAACAAAACCAAAAACTCCTTCTCTTTCCTCCCTCCCGCCCTCCCTCCCCTTGTCTTGCCCTCTCAGGTTTATTCCTCTCACCTCTCTTACTACTCCATTCTATATTTTGTAATATATATATTAACTTTTACCATTGAATTAAAATTTCCTTTGTCTTTATTTGCTCATTTCTTCTGGTCTGCTAAGAGTCCGTAAAGGCGACCATATTTCTCTGTCAGGATCTCATTCACTTCTGCACATTCGCCCAACCGAGAGCCTTCACATGCACACATGGCTCCTGAAACCGATTTAGTCTTGTTATGCCTGTGTTCAATTGACTCCAGAGCACTGGTTGGAGCCACTACATAATACCACTATGGAGAAAATACATGTTGTCATTCATTTCTTCACACAAGAAAGCAAGCAAGCTCTTCACTGTATAATCTGTACTAATCGTACCAAGGGATACATTTAAGTGCAGAATAGAAGCTTTGCTAATGGACAGTGGAAGTTGTTCTACAATCATTGATCTTATATGACTGGAATGCAGATCTCTGTGAAGCTCTAGTCTGGCTGTTACAACAATTTAACAATCACAGTCTTTCAGTAGTCCTCTGCTTTTATTAAGTTACTATCTGACCTATTTGCGTACTCATTTTAAGACTATTACATTTTATGGGGGAAAAAAACATCTGCAGGCTTATTGACTTAAAGTGAAACTTTGAACAACCTCTTTTATGAAGGTTTTGCTGCTCTAAAGTTTTGGGGATTTGGTCTATACAGTATTAGAACCAATAAGGAAAATTACTTTCAGAGAAAGAAAAATTTTACATATCTCATATAAAACTTAAATATTGAAAAAAAAAAGTTTAATGAGGACTTTTTTGTGGATTTTCTACTTTACAAACTTTTTATTTTATGCTGTGCAAGGATAATTCACAACATTACTTTAACCTATCAAAAGGTGCCAGATTAAAGCAAAATAACACCTGTATCGACACCTGTAGTAAATTGTGAGCTTAATGAAAGTAAACGCATGTATAGAGACCTTTAACCCCCCAAAAAAGTCTATTAGAAGAATTATTCATTATATATTGTGTAAGAACCTGAAATTTAACAATGATAAACAGAGTTTTACCTGCCTTTTTTTTCAGCAATCTGAATATAGATTTTAGCTTAAACTTTGCTCTGAATGGCTTTGTCATGGGAGGCCACTGTGTTTAACATTGATCCTCGAATCTAGCATTCCAGACACGCGGTCATCCTTATTCAGCAGTTTTTTTCATGTTCTCAGTGGTCAGGTACTTGCCCTTTTCTTAACATTTTCTTAGGATTTTTTTTGTCAATGCAGTTTTTATAGGCTAGAAATTACTTAAATTATCATAAGCTACTTGCCCTGATGAAATTGTAGAATGAATATTCCCTAAAATCATTGTGTTGCTATAACCATGCATCTGCTTAATTTATTATGAAAGAAAATTTAGTTTTTAGTTCCTAAATTCAATTATGAGCTGCTCCTTAAAGGTGACTTGGGGTTCGCTGAAAAAAACATATGATTTTCTGCTCAGTATTTCCCTAAATATGTACTTAGCTCAGAAAGGGGCGTGGGAACCATGTGCAGAAGGATACAGTGACAGCAGCCAAGAACTGCGGTCATGCAGATGGGGAAAGCAGCACTCTGAATATACACTCCTTGTTACACAAACCTGGAGGCTGATCAAATACAGTTTTGAGGTTAATCTTGAGGATCAGGACCTACAGATTTTCTTAGACTTTACCAAATCCCATTTTGCCTGATTACAGTGACAGTGTTGCCGCCCTTTGCAGCCTGGTGTTCACGGCCAAAAACATGTCTAGCTTTAGCGAATAATAAAGCTTAATCCTTCTTTAGACAGTACAGTTTATGTTTGTGGTTGAGCATGTGACAGCTTTATGTTGGGGTGCGTGGATCGCCCCAGGCTGTTCCCATTCACTGAGATGGTCCGTGTCACTGTTTGCACTGGCTTCTTCCCTGGTGCCAGCTGTAAAAACACTGCCCCATTAGATCAGTGGCGTGCACATGTTTTTCAATGCATTCATCTTTGGAAGCCTAGGTTTGTTTTTGTGGGCACTGGCCATTCTTGTAAAACCATGAGTAATGGTTTTACAGATTTGACACCACAAAGTATTTGTCTGGTTTCTACCCTCTAATACTAGTTGCACAGTCTGTGATGTTAGAAAAGCTTCACAATCATTCTAACAGATTTTTTTTTCAACTTCCCCACCTGTAGCTGTTTTTACATTTGCTTCATGAGATGTCTTTTGACTTTAAGCAATGCTTCTGCTATTTCATTGCACCGCCATGAGTCATGCTGCTTAAGAATAATCCAATGCTGGGAAGGTGCTGAGCTGAGAATAACAGATTTTTAAGAAAAAAAACGTGACGTTACAAAGATTAGGATATAGGGTGGACTGGAAATTGTATATATGTACATTTAAATCTTGTTTTAGTCACCTTTTAAAGAGCAGTGTTACGTTTCTGATCATAGAATAATAAAGAGGTCTGATTGACCACAAACTTCCTTGGCTTGTTAGCCTTGGAAAATCTTCCTAGGTGTGGCGCATCGATAAACACAGAGCCGTAATTATTTTTCTTAAGGGAATCTGACTTGCATGGTGGGTTGCAGCCAATTAGCTAAAGTG